CATTTAAATATCCATGGACTCCCTTCTGCCCACCTCTCCATTCTAGCCCCTTCCACACGCCCTGCTCCATAGACCAATATTTCTATCGAAGGCCCCCCGGTCAGCCTTCACTCTATTTGAACTATGGCCCACTAAGCCATTTCGCTCTTTCAGACGCGACCTAACCACAAATGATAGCTCAACAAAGTGGCGTATTGTTTCTAAATGCATAGCAGCCAAATGCTCTAAACGCATGCTTCTAAATGTGGAGGGAAGACCCGGAGAAAAATCCCCTCGACCACAGGGAGAGAGACACGCACAACTCCAAATCAAAATGCGGTCAGGGTCGGGATCGAATCCACAACTTCCTGCATACCAGGTGAGGTCGTGAACATCTCGGCAGACCGTGACGCCTCGGTTGGAGGTTGCTGCTGCTTCTTTGCTGCACCATTGTCTGGAAACCCCTTTTCCCACCTTTACAAGCTGTTGACGACCTGCCCCTGTTCAAGTCCAGGCTTAAGAGCTTCTTTTATTTTCCTTTGCCCATGATCGACACTTTATATAAATACATATATATCCACTGTTTCTGTGGTATATTTTATTATGAAATAATAAAGTAATTGCTGATGAGTTGGACTCTTGTCAATGGGAAAAACGAGTTTTAGGATTCGCAAATGATGTTATTGAACGTTATTTTTTATATTCGACTTGAGCAAGAGGTAGCATGCACATTTGAGTATGGTAGATCAAATAAAGGCATGTATCTTTCAGAAATCCAGTTCGTGTGTCTATGCGCGAGCATTGTGCCTCGTCATTTTATCCTGTGCCAGTGAAAACTCCACATTTCTATGACAGGGTCCAGTCTTTCTGTAAAATAACCATTTGTGGAAATTACACATTGTATAGGGTGGTGGTGGCGGGGAGACCGGCACTGCCCATAGGATAACCACTGGTGGCTTCGCATGTGGATAATCTCAAAGCAAGTGTTCAGCCTGTGTTTATTCGTGTATATCCAGCGGTAGTTAAGTCTCGCCTCAGTGGATGTTAGTTTGATGAGACACTGGCGCCCAAGCTCGTCTCAGCAAAGCCGGCAACAACCGGCTACCGTCGCCACGTGTGACGCCGAAGGTGGTGACTGCAGACCCGTCGTGCCACGTGATGCCACGTGGTTACGCACGCAGACACGTGCAAAAACATTGGTTTGTGACTCTCGCACCCGGCTGGTTTTGGTTGTTCACGAGCAATTGCCGAGGTGAAGTCACGGGCCAAACGTCTAACCTTGAGTCGCATTATCTAACGGTCATCTGACCAGAAAAATCCGAGTTCAATATCTATTCGGCATCGTCCAACATCCGGTCGGTGGTGTCAGGATGGGTGATGTGGCCTCATTGTGTGCACTGATAAAACGAGCGCTGGGAAAGAAAAGAAAAACCGCGTGTCCGTTTCACGAAGTGTGTGTGTGTGTTGACACGGAATTGCGTGTACACACAGGTTTGTGGATGTGTTCAAATTGGCAATAATTTACATTTTGAACTGACATTTACTCAGCTAATTATTTATTTTTTGCTGAATATTAACCGAGCCGCTGGTTGACGGGAGCGGGCATGTGCCTCGTAGCCACAGCTAAAATCGATGTACTGAGGTACCGACCGACACTCGTGTTCGTGGTTATTTTAATTCTCGGCAGCACAAAAAAAGCAAACTAATTGGCATATTTGTCCAAGTGACAACGTGATTCAGATGCCTGAGGGTATAATTGAAAATTGGCACACCTACACGATCTAACCAAAAATAAACTAAACACAGTATGAATCTTTTCGATTTAAAGCTTTCGTGACTGCAGGGATTCATCTTCTTGGTTCTTTCGGTAAAGTCACGTAGAAGGGAAATAGTAAAATAATAAAAAATAAAACATAATAAAATATGATTTCCCTTCTACGTAACTTTACCGAAAGAACCAAGAAGACGGTATGAATCCGCACAAATTAAATACAGACAAAAATGTCGAATCATGTTGGGCTAGCACGTATTAAGGTAACACCCTACCTATCCATCCCATATATGTAACACCCATGACTAACGAGTGATGAAATACAGTAACTCAATATACCTGGCGAGGCAGCGCAAACATAACCTTTGTGGCACACCTCTGATTAGCAACGGTTGGCTACGTACGGTGAAGAAAGGAGTTCAACATACAAACACACACATCAAATCTCAAGATTCGTACACTGGAATGGTCCCGATGGTGAAGCGTTCATTTCAGCAACGTCATAAAAAAGACGACCTCCATCGTAAAGTTACCACGGCCATGATCAGACGGCAACTTGCTGTGGGAGTGTACATTGAAACCTCCGCTGTATTTATTTTATGAAGTCTGATTTATTGCACGTGGAAATACATTGGCAACCACGCAGTTCACACTCGGGTATTTGCATATTTACAATGCTGCAGCTAACACAAATAAGTGAGAACGTCAATGTTAGGGAGTATTTGATATTGGGCAGGCTACAAGTATGCATTATATCATTATTGTCATTATGCAGGAGGCCATGGGTTAGATCCCGATACCTGTATATTTTTAGTTTGTATGTTCTCCCCGTGGTCGCGTGGATTTTTCTCCGGGTCCTCCGGTTTTTCCCTCCACATTTAGAAACGTGCGTTTAGAGTAATTGGCTACTATACATTCCTATATGATAAGTCACTTCGTTGAACTATCATTTGTGGCAAGGTAGCTTCTGAAAAAAGAGCTATGAAGCTCAGTGGGCCTTACCTGGTAAGATATAAAAAAAAGTGTAGTTTTAATTCAAAGTTCACACGAGGTAACGTGTAAATCTGTTGCGTGTCCTCTGAGCCATCGGTCACGCCACGGCTCCTGCCTGGTATGCAGGGCTTTGTTAGCGAGGGCTCATGGGCACATATACAGCCTGTTCTTCCGTAACGCGGTAGTTGCGTTCTTGAAAAACACCACGTTATGGGAAAAAGTCGCGTTATAATGAAATTATATATATATATGGGACAAGTATGTGTGGTTAATGCAAACTTTTGATGCATTTTCAAGAGGTGTATCCATTTGGTGTTTTTTGTTTGTTTGTTGCCAGAAAGGCTAAACGCCTTTTTTTCTGTTTGGTTTTGTCCTGGGCTCGTTGTTCCTGGGGTTCGTCGGGTGCTGTTAGTGCCATGCCCCAGATGCCCAGTCCCAGGGTGTGTCGCTCCTCTCTCTCCCCCCCGTGAGTTCCTGCTCTGACCACCACAAAACCCTCCTTCGACTCTCACGTCGTTTATTTTTCATATTCGTAAAGTGTCTTTGAGATGCGATCTCTTGTCACAATGCTCTGTACATTGAAATTGTTTCGATTTAAAGCTTTCGTGACTGCAGGGATTCATCTTCTTGTTTTTTCGGTAATGTCACGTAGAATGGAAATAATAAAATAATAAAAATAAAACATAATAAAATAATTCTCACGACGTTTCGGCCACAACGCAAGCAGCCGTCCTCAGGTAGAGAACGTCTGTCGAGAAGGCCGAAACGTCGTGAGAATTATTTTATAATGTTGAATTTTTATTATTTTATTATTTCCATTCTACGTGACTTTACCGAAAGAACCAAGAAGATTGAAATTGTTGTTGTTGTGGCATATATATGCGCTGCAGGGATTGTGTATTTTTCAGACTTGTTTTTGCAAGTATCAAAAAAATTAAAAATAATAATAGGCTTAACCATTTCTGGCAATAAAACGTATGTTAAACTGTTCAAACACCAAATCGATAGCTATTGCAAGGCATCAATTCTGCATTTACCACACGTACTTGTGGCAAAACATGAACACAAACACGCTTTAATATGTCGTCTTTGAAACTGATTGACCTACACCGGATAACAGCCTTCTTTATGGCCCTTGCCTCGCCAGTGATAAACCAGAGAACACCAAAAGGCAAACACAGTATAAAGGCAATGCTTGTATAAAAAAAACATTTTAATAGCTCGGGTTGAGCAGTGAAATCTAGTGGGACCTTCTCTGGGCACATTAACACCATCTTAACGCCCGTTGTATTGCCAGAGAGGCTAAATAAAGCCCACCCTTATTGTTTTCATTGCACAAGTTACAGAGGCAATGTTAAGCAGCATCAGCAGCCATGGGATCTGTGTGCTATTTCCCGAAGAACGCCGCATTCGCTCCAGAAACACGAGCGCGTGTGTGGTGCGTGTGTGGTGCGTTCGACGCGAATGGGGCTCGTGCTCGATTAAATGGCATCTGCACCGGTTCAAACCTGTACGTTTCTTTTGCAAACATTGACGTATTCAGCAGGTGCCTGTAAAAGGTACGTTCAAGTGTCGCCTTTTGTGATTCTCATTCCGGTTTAGCTGGTTTCTGTGCCGTTAAAACCAAGTCGAGAAATTCCGAACTCATAAAATGAAAATGGCCATTTTGCTTGACGCGACCCACGATGCACACACACACTGCAATCGTCGATGCCCTGCTACTCTGAAAATATCAGCGGCGACCTTACTCCGTGCCTCTCGCAGGGCTGCAAGTGACGAGGTTAATGCTGCTTATCCACGATAAACTAGCGTATCGACTTGTCCAAGTATTTGTGCTGCTGTTCTACACTTTTGAGAACGCAACACGCAAACCGCCTCGTGCAATGGCTATTATTTGCACGCGGGCTCGCTTGTGCACCTGGTGCGGTGTGTAAACATCGCCACTGGGGAGACAAAGGCGGTCGGGCGTGGTGCTGGCCACCCACCCGTACCGTGCCGGCCTTCAGGTGCTCGCAAACAGCACTTGCCCCTACAGTCTTAAGGCTATACGGGGAATCTTTGGGGTTGTTATGCAGAGGTGCCCGGTTGTTTTTGCACAGCAAGTTGTTTGTCGCTAGGAAATACAATTATTATCTGTCTGCACCAGGTTAGTCCTGCCGAGACTGCCATGTTGCTGGCCCGTCCCTGCCGCTAGTTTCCAAAATATCGGCGTTATATTGTGCAGTGTGCAGCCCAAAACCAGACGCAAGACAATACGTCGAGAGATAGACAGATTTAATAAAGAAATACATACCACACCAGGGAATAATGTACTCCTTAAACCTGGGTAAATGCTTTGACTGTATGCAATTTTGTGTAAAAAATAAAGCAAATTAATCCGCCACTTTAGTACAAAATATATGAGCAACAAAACCTGTTAAAAAAACTATCGAAATCGAATGTTGGTAACACACGTTTTATAACTGTAAGTGTGACTTTATTGTAATGCATGGAATGACCGTACAAGAAGAAGCCTTAACCAAACATTAACATGTCTACGGCAAACTTAACACCACCGCAATAGAAAAAAAAGATTAACAATGAGAATTAAACGCAACACAAAAACGAATTAAGAGCTTTCTACATGTAGGAGGGCACAGCCAGCCAGCAAAAACCCATGTGCATTTGACCACACTGTGTTCTGTGAGCCTCTGGAGGTTGCTGCAAGGAGCATAAACCATCATCACGCGAACTCCGATCATCCTTGCAGCAGCGGCTTTTGGCTAGCCATCGAACATCGCGCGCTTTCAGACACCCTTCTGCGGCCGTCTGGAACGCTCTTCTTCTGACATAAGGAAGCCACCGGAGCAAACCACTTTTAAATCTAAATTGAAAACTCATTTAATGATAGAAGTGCATTTTTTGTGTTTAGTATGTGGTCCTTCCCCCGCAGCTCAGATTATCACGGTTGGCTACGTACGTTGAAAAAGAAGTTGAACAGACATTATGTGCACATCTTGGCATTTTGCACCAAAAGCCTCGAGTGTGTAGATTGACACTTCCCTTTCTTGCTCATCCTTGACAGACCCTCCTGGCCATGCCCCCAATAAAAGAAAAGCATGCTGTAGACTCCAGAGGAATAAAACTACTGGCACTTAAGTAGAGTTTAAAAAAATCACAGACCCAGTTGGTCCTTCACAGATGCTGATTTGTGATCAATTATAACATAAATAAAACAAAAAACGTTAAAACTTAATTGTGAACACAAATCTGTTAATCTTAGACCTTAAGTTCCAAACCATGATCCGATTGAAAGGATGAGCAAGCCAAACAAGTTTAATTTCGTTTACACTAAAGGCACAGACATTTCTTATAGAAGGCAGTTAAAATTTTAAGGACGTATACTTTGATGCTATTTATATCCAGAGTGCTCTTCAGCAGAAGTCCACACGTTGCCATTTTAGCAAATAAGCAGTGGACAAACGCTTGTGTTGACTCTCGTAACTGTGAGTGGGGCACGTTTAGCCAGAAGAACTTGATTACGAACCCTTTGCAGCCTCGACTACAAGTTGCGCAAGGATGGCAACCTGGGAGTCGCCAGCATGAACTCTTGCAACTATTGCCATCATAACACGATCAGCTGTGCAACGTGGTGTTTGTATATTGGCTTCATCCTCCTTATGGAAGATTAGTACACGCTAACCCTGTTGACCCAATCTGTACAGTGACTCGTGCGGTTGCACAGAACACCACAGGACAGGGGGGTCAAACTTGTTTTTGGTGATGTCTGAACTTGGACCTTTTTTATGTTCACACGTGATGTGATGTGATATTCTAAAGTTGACCTACACAATCTCTTCACCCGGACTGGGTTCTTATCGACACATCAGCTCGTACAAAACACACTTAACAATCACTTATCATTAAGCACTGCAGTAAAAGGAAAAACTGAACATTGTCGGTATATAGACGACGTCGGTTTGTGTGACGACAAGCAGCTACGCTTTAAGCACTCTCTTCAGCAGTATAGTTTTTGTTTTATATATATAACGGCGAGCGAGCAACTAAGAACTCTACTTCTGCACTCTGAGCGCTTCCACGGGCCGGACGACGTGGCTCGGGTGCCTAGGCACGAGGAAGATGGTGCCGTTGCTGGCGTACTCGAGGAAGTACTTGGACGGCGAGTACGGTTGCCCGGCATCGTCGCGCAGCGACTCGAACACCTGCCGCTGCATCTGCTCCAGGCCCTGGCGCACCGAGGCGAGGCCCGAGCTCAGCTGGTCCCGCTCGCGCTTGAGCCGCTCGCGCTCGCCCAGCAGGCCGTCCAGCTCGCCCTCGAGCGACGAGAGGCCCTCCATCTTGCGCTTGCGGCAGTTCTGCGCCGCCACCTTGTTCTTGCCCCGCCGGCGGATGTCGCGCACCAGGGCCAGCTGCGAGTCGTTGAGCTGGTGCCGCGACAGCAGGCCGACGAAGTCGTCCACGGGGAGGTTGACTATGTCGGCCACCGAGAAGGGGATCTTCAGGGAATGGGCCTTGCGCTCGTCGCGCGACATGCGGCCGCCGCCCTTCGAGGTTGGGTAGCAGCCGCTTTTGTCCCGTGCCACCGGGCGCTTCACGGAGCCGTCGCTGGCTGCGGGGTCGGAGCGGCTCAGCTTTGACCTCTTGCCGCTCGGATTACGCCGCTGCTTCTCGTCGTTCCCTGGCGACGAGGAGCTGTAATGTGCCTCGTCTAGAAAAGCCGACCCGTCTCCCTCCTGGCTGTACGTGTGCCTCTCTCCGTTGAGACTTTCCATTTCATCGAGATCATCTTCATCACTGAACTCGTCATCCTCGTCCCTGAATAGGGCTTGGTAGTGTGAGCCGTGAGAGCCGTGAGGGCTCGAGCCCGTGGACATCCCAGAGTCTGAGTCGTGCTCATCGAGAGCGGCCGTCGACTCAAACGCTAGGAAGCTGCTGCTGGGTCTGAAAATCTCTATTTTACCCACGTCGCTACATCCAGGGATGCTTTCCCGTGGAGGGATATTCAGCGGAAGTCTGCTGTTCCCTGCCGTTACCTTCACGATTCCATATTTACTTTCTGGCAGATCCATACCGCAATAATTAGCTTCTGAATCGATAGGGACTTCCACTGAACCAAGGCTGGTAAGGACTGTGGACCCTAGTAATTCATTTAACTCACTGTCTGCTAAATTGTTGCTGGCTTGGGTTGCGGCATTGCTGACGGGGGCATAAGTTGACGGAATGGATGGTAGGAGCATGCCAGAGTCAAACGGTGGGTAAATATGTGATGTGCTAACCTGCTCGATACTGTAAAATGCAGGGCAGGAATTTTCTGCGTTGGGCAAGTTACTGCCCATTGCGTCGTATGTGGAGTTAAAGTCCTGTGCAGGAACTGCAGTGGCAGTGCTATCACAGCAGAGTGCCGGGCAGCTCTCCAGAACATCCAAGGCTGGCTGGCTTTCTATGCCAGCGTAGAGCGAAGGTTCGAGATCAACCACGTGCATGTCCAGAACCTTAAATGAACAACACAAATACAGAAATTAAGACAGCCCTGCAAGTAATGCTATTTTCTGGTTTGCGGTATTTCTTTTAGCCATTTGCAAATGCTTTAGGTCAAACGCACGTTTGGAAAAGGGTGCAATGTGAGGGTGATCATTTCCCTAACCACAAAAATAGGCAAACACACACCTGTGAAAACGTCCTCGCTGTGGGCGGATAGAGTAAGCACGCATCACCAAACTCACCTGGAAGTCTGGGAGCGAGAGGATCTCCTGCCACCGCTGCTCCAGGTCGAGCGGTTGGCATTGGGCAGGCGGAGCGGCCACCTTGTCCGGGGCCAGCACTGGCACGCATGGCACAGGTTCGCCCATCGCGATGGGGCCCGTGACATCAGGGAGGGCAGGAACCTGTGTGTGTGTGGACATGGGGGGGGGGGGGGGGGGAGGTCACCCAGGACCGGTCAGTTACAGCGTCAACTGTAGAGACCTGACTTTAAAATCGGCACGGTTGGCTACGTACTAATGCTGAACTTCTTTCGCAACCATAGGTAGCTAACCGTGTCACTCGGAGGTGCGGGGGAAGGACAACAAACTAAGCACAAAAATCAGTTCTAAAGAAGTGTGAGTTTACGTGTGTAAAATGAGTTAGTGTATATAAACACACACATGCAAAAGACAGTCCACGATCACCATCAGCTATGCTGGACCTCCCCAAGCTATCATCGTCTCTCACGGTCTTGTAATCTAAGAATCCACCGAGCACTTTCCCACGAGGTGATTCCGCTGTTCCATCTCCTTAATGGATGGCCCGTCTCTGGGCGCTTGTCATTCTCGACAATTGTGACGTTTGGATGGTCAACGTCTCATTAGTTGTTGGAATGCGTGAGCGCCTGCGTAAATTGCGCGCTGGGTGTTGTGGAGGAGGACTTACATCTGTACAGTGTGTGACACATTCGTGGTTTCAGACATGTCCATGTCAAGTAACGGTGCACTGGAGGACACTGGCTTGATTACTCGTGGGAGGTTCTTTGTCCAAGTAAATTAGCATGTCAGGAAGGAAATTACAGTCCTGCTATTGCTGACAAACCCCTATTTGTCTTTCTGCAGGACTCAGCTTCTGTGTAAATATTGGCACAAGAGCTGTGCTCATTGCTTCATATGGCAGGGTTATTAGCATTGTTCAGTGCCGATGGCGGCGAGGTCGGCGAGCCTGTTTGAGGGATACGGGCAGAGGATGTTGTGAATGTGTGAGCTGATGCTACACTGGTGGAAGATGAACAGCAGACTCCACAGGGCGACTGTGACTATCAAAAGCCAAACCATGGAACACACACCATCCAACAATTGCCCACTTCGCTCCCTCACCTCAGGAGTGGTGTCAAAGTTGAAGTTTTCTTCCAGAATCTTCAAGCACTCGTCAAAGCTGAGTGGTGCCTGTTCTCCTCCTGGAATTGCAGAATCCTGCACAGAGGAACACAGGGGCAGAACGTATTAACTTAGATAATGTTCACTGTTAAAACAACCATCCTCAACTATTTCCTAATCTCTTTATGCGCCCTATATGAAGAAGGGCCATTACCATGAACGTCAGCCTATTATATATGGTGGTCACATTTTAAAAAGATGCATTTAGAGTATTTGACTGTTGCTACACATGTCCACGTGATAACAGTTTAGTTTTTCTTTTTAAGACAGTCCCATGGAAACATGTGCGGGAGTCTTTTATAATCACGCAAAGAGTTTACAAAATTGGTATGCTGACAGCTGTTTACTCATGGTTTTGTGCAAATATCTTCAATGTGGAAACTTTGGTCCCACCTCAGTGCATTTGAGTGCTTTGGTTTGCACTTCTGACTCACAAAGTAAATCATTCTACACTGGGTTAGCATAATGATGTTACTGCTGCTGCTGGGAGATAATTAAGATGGACCAAAACTTTTTTTTTGGTGCAGAGATAGAGCCACAGCAGACACAGAGACGTAATGTGCAGGGAGTATTGTTATTCAAAGGACGAAAATGCAAATGCACACGTTTGCGTCTTCGTCGAAACATGTTTTTTCAAAGCACCTTGACAGGTGTATGTTTATATATCATTGTAAAACTCAAGCTAAGAAAATAAGGTATTCTCTAAAGAGTCAAACTCTTTTTGTTATTATTGCACCAACGTGTAAATCTTTAAAAGCATTTTAGTTACACAATTTTCCTCCCACTGCGTAGTAAAATATAAAAAAGGGGCTTACTAAAATGGGACATGTGGATACAATTCATTTCCATACAAGGACGTCCTGCATGTGTGTATGCCCCTGACATGGTAGAATGCAGAGTCAAAGCCCATGGGATGTGGCATGAAGCACATGTGCTTACCTCCAATTAAGCATTAATTGAATCGTGCCATCAGGCTCATAAATCACACACCACGCTTATCTTAAGTGAGAGGTGTGGGGGGTAACTTATGGCCTTGAGGACCAGATACAGCCCAGCTAGCAACTTCACTTCACACAGTCTGTAGTAGTCACATGAGGCCTACCACTTTGAAACGGCCTGCAAACAATATTTATCCCTGACAGAAAGCATTTGGTTTGTTTGGAACGGCTACTAGAACGGGAATATCGTTGACCTGGCAACAGTGCGTTTATAATGTTAGAGTGCTCACTCACTTCTGTCAATGCCAGGGTGTCTTGCAGTGATATGAAGTGGCCAAGGATAATGTTAATGTGTGGCGCCGCCAAAATTATGTATTTGAAAGCCCTATTCGGCCCACGCTTGTTCCAAGTGGCAGAGTCGAAAACACACCCTGTCCCGCACCTCCCATTAGCACGGTTGGCTTTGTACGGTGGGAAAGAAGCTCAAAATGCATTTATTTATTATTTTACCAGGTAAGGCCCACTGAGCTATGTCGCTCATTTTAAAAAGCGACCTGGCCACAAATGATAGCTCGACGAAGTGGCTTATTACGCGGAAATTTATAGCAGCCAAATACTCTAAACGCAAACGCATGATTCTCAACCTGGAGGGAAAAGCTGGAGGACCCGGAGAAAAAATCCACATGACCATGGGGGAGAGTGAACACGCAGTCTCCCAAATATACAGCAGGGGTCGGGATCGAACCCACGACCTCCTGCATACCGGGCGAGCTATTTAACATCTCGCCACCGTGGGCGCCCCATACATCAAGCATACGTAGGGACGAGGGGGCCAACACATTGAGTGAGCGTCTGCAGCGTGCAGCACGCACGCACACACACACACAAGCGGGCCTCACCTTGACCCCTCGCGTCAAGGCAGACTCCTCCTCGAGCTTGGGCGGCGGGTTCCCCCCGCGCTGCACGGGCACGTACTCGCCCGTCTCCCCGTCCACCTCGAAGCAGGCGAGCCGCGCCTTCTCCTCCTCGAAGGCCACCTGCTCGAGGCGCTCGTTCTCGCGCTTCTTGAACAGCTCGTGCTCCAGCTCCTTCCGGCGGAGCGCCACGTCGAAGACCTCCCGCCCAGCGCCCAGGTCCACATCCTGCTTCCACAAGATTTCTATTTGGTCCATCTAGAGCGGGGGTGGGGAGGGGGGGACGACGACACGGAAAGCGAAAATGAACAAGGAGAGCAGTTTGTTTTAATTAAAAAAATCTCAATATTTCAAGAGCCGCATGGCATGCTACATACGAGACGGTGGCCCTTGATAAATGACGTCACAAAGCAGTCCTTAAAGAGCCGCAGGTTGCTGACCCCCTGGTCTCGAACCGGGGACACGGGCAGGTTAGCTCAGCACAGCAGGGTCTATGCTCAGAATGAGTTTGTTTTTGTATTCCGACAAAACGCGAAACCGGTACAATCGGCCGATCGACATTATAGGGAAACAGAAACTCCGTGAAAGTTCGAATTCAAACGCTCTTCCTTATGTAGTGCTCTTCCTTAGAATTATAGGAAGCCACTAGACGATGCACTTTTCAATCTAAATTGAAGACGCATTTCTTTATAAATGCTATGTTTAGTTATTATGTTTCGTTTGTCGTCCTTCCCCCGCACCTCCACTTAGCAAAGTTGGATATGTGCTGTGCGAAAGAAGTAAAAGATACATACATAGGTACTATTATATATGGCCATTACAGGATACAGAGCAGCAGTTACATCAGTTATGATGCAGAGCTATGAATATCCTTAACGCTTTCCAATGTGAGTTTAATGCTGACCAATTTGGTTGTCACTAACCGTTGAAATAGGCTTTGGCTCTGGCCAGAGTTATGTAGATACTAATATTCCCAATTAAATTCTAAGCATGCACCTCTCCATGCTTCGTTGTGCACCCTTTCAACGATTGAATTATGCACGTTGAACTTCTTTCGCACCGAACGTGGCCAACCGTGCTAATCGGAGGTGTGTGGAAGGACAGGAAATTAAACACGAAACAACGTGCCATTGTCCATCGATTAGAGAACACACACCAAGCTAGAGACGTATTGACGGTTAAGAAAGGTAAATTTGGGCTTGGACATGGCATACCACTGGAAGAGATGATGGCCAGTGGCCAAGATGAATGATGGGAGTGGCAGCCAAACGAAAAAGAACACGCCTTGAAGGGCTTCCTACGCAGAGAGAGCCATAGCGTGATGAAATCAGCGCACCTTCAAGGTGCGCGATGGAATGTTGCATTGCAAGCCTGTGAGAGTTAGCAATGGCTGACGGAGACTCTACTCTAGCAGTCGAATGAACACGGCTGATGGTAGATTTATTATTTAAATGCACATTTGCTGAACCACAGCACACAAACACAATCAACGTTCGGCTGGGTTGAAAGATTCCGATTTGAAAGCACGACCAAGCTATGGCATGATTAAGTAACCATCTTAAAGAAATAACTTCTCATACAATTGATGTAGTAACAGAATCGTCTTAAACCTATGTTTCTCGGGTTTTTTTTTCATCCAAGTACGGCACGTGCAATGTAACGACCGTAATGCCGTTTGTATCACGATGTAGTTTTATCTCAAGGATGACACGTTTCTGCTTAAAAACAGACACGTTTGTATTATACTCTTGGTTATTTCGGTAAAGTCACGTAGGTAAAAAATGAAATTAATGAAATTAAAAATAATTGTTATTCTTGACGTAGAGCTTTTGTGACTGCAGGAACTCATATTCTTTGGCTGAAAGAAAATAACAAAAAATACTGTTGTTATTTTCTTTCAACCTATTTACGTGACTTTACCGAAAGACCCAAAGAATACGTTCATTATTCTGTTCAATGTACAAATAAAGACGACGACGCCCATAGAAGAAAAAAAAGAGTGCGTTGCGTGTCGATTGCCGGCGGGGGGAACTCACGTTGACACGAGGAGGCAAGGCGAGCGTCAATCGCAGGGAAGTCACGAAACGAGCGGCCGCAAAACAGAAAAAATACCCCACGCAGCTCAAAAGGCACGGGCAGAGTTTAAAGCGCTCCCAGCCTCTTCTTGGTTCTTTCGGTAAAGTCATGTAGGAGGGAAATAATAAATAATAATACATTTTACATAATAAAATATATATTATATTATTTTATGAGGATGTATTTTTTTATTCTTTTATTATAAAAAATATATTACATTATTTTATGATGCTTTATTTTTATTATTTTATTATTTCCCTCCTACGTGACTTTACCGAAAGAACCAAGAAGATGAATCCCTGCAGTCACGAAAGCTTTAAATCGCTCCCAGCCTCTCGCTCACGAGAGCGGGCGGTCTCCCAATAACGCGTGGACGTTCACTGCGACCGGCAAACACCACCACCACCACCACTCCACCTACCCTCACTATCCAGAACTCTGCCTCCTCCGTGCCGATTAGTGCAAATAGACGACGGGCGCTTTACAGCTTTGCCGCAGAGCCATTTCGTAAATGTTGACACAAACGGGGAGTGGTCGTTGCCCACTTGTGTGTGTGTGTCCAAGCGAACGTAGCATGAACCCACACCCCCCCCCCATCCTGCTGCTACTGATGCCCGTGAACCCGCATGCAGACCGCCTGCGCTTTGCAGGGTGAAACCCGAGTCGGGCAAAAAAAACCAGCGACGTTTGTAGACTTGGGGGGGTGGAGGTGGCGACAGACAGATTTTGTTTTAGGCTCATATTTTATCACCGATGACAAACACAAAATCGGTTACAATGAATGATTGATGCTTCCGTGTAAGCAACAACGTGCACAGTCCACCGGACCAATCGCTAAGTGCTGCTCCCTGCCTGTGCACGTTGCACAACGAACACCGGCACCTTCTCGATCGCACGCTTTATTCTCGCCACGCCTGCGTTATCAACATTGCCGCAAAATCAGACTTTCGCCCCGTCAATGTAACTCAGCTCTGTACCAACAAATCCGTGTTTAACCCAAGCCATGTTTAGTAGGTTTCTACCCACCACGAAGTTTGTCCTCGCAATGCCTAGAGGCGATTTCGTAAAGACATCGCTAACAACACGGGGGGGCTGTTTTTAACCAGTATCAAAGTATGACAAAATACGATTAGGTTTTACCCATTCTGGCAATAAAACTGGCGTTAAGATTGGAGGCGAATCAGTTTCAAAGACAACGCAAAAACGACCTGAGCATATTTGTTTGGTTGTTCACCCCAAGTACGGTGTGGTTTAATGCGAACTTGATTCCTTGAAAAAGGTTTCTATTTTGGTGCTTGAACAGCTTAACACCTGCTGCTTTATTGCCAGAAAGGGTAAAACAAAAACAAAAACTATTCTTATTTTTGTCTTCGTACGCCGCTAACAATATTAATAAATGCACAATACATCGGTGACTATTTGTGCGCCAGATGCTTCCTGGGTGTGTTGCGAGGCGCGATGTGGGGGGGGACAAATATTATCCTTCGGTTAAAATTGCAATGTCTGATTTGCGAAAGAGGGCTTCTTAACAACAAAGCCTAACTCGGCCTCAATGTCCTAACCCTGGCGATGGTTGCCATGAGATGAATTGGTACAAAATAGGGCATGGTGGGTGGGTGTCAGGAGAGAGTCAAATGATTTGGTACGAAATAGGGCATGGTGGGTGGGTGGCAGGGGAGAGTCAAATGATTCCAGCACCTGCCGGCTCGGCTCGTGACCACACAGGGAGGGAAACCACAACCCCAAGAAGGTGCTGCTCGTTCAAGCAATCCATAAAAAAATATATCTTAACTATTGCCCCTTAAACACACCGAGGCACGATGGCAGTCCCTTCTGAATAGGTCTGAAGGCTGCTGTTAATAACTCTCCCGGAGAGATTCTGTTTGTTAAATATTAGTTTTTCCTAATTCTTCTCAACAATTCGACAATAGCATTATTCTACCCGGGTGCTGGAGCAGAGGACTCCATTTACAATGAGAAGATGACACGTTTGTTTTAAAGTACCGTGTTTGTCAATCCTCTACTTATGAAGGTCTCCCCCCACCATGTCGGCAAAGGGGGTTGTTTGACCATACTTCACCATAAAAGTTTATGTTAAGGTTGGCACACCAATCAGCAGACTGTGTGAGTTCAATTCACGAGTGTGAGTTAACTCAGCCCATTATCTGTCGGAGAGCAATATAATTATTACTGTACTTATTCCAAATTGTGGGATGTCAATCGTGATTGTTCTGTGAATAAACTGGCCCCCATCATAGGGATGTATAGTTTCCGGCACTGGCTCTGGCCTGTTAACAGATATGAGCTCGATAAAGCAGTGCAACATCTGGACACTGACTTACCATATGCATGCACCCTTACTACTCTTCATCGAATATAATCCGTATTAATTTTCGATTTAAAGCTTTCGTGACTGCAGGGATTCATCTTCTTGGTTCTTTCGGTAAAGTCACGTAGAAGGGAAGTAATAAAATAAAAAAATAAAAAAATAAAAAATTCTCACGACGTTTCGGCCACAACACAAGCAGCCGTCCTCAGGTGAAGACCAGGTCTGTCGAGGCGACAGCTTCTAAATGAAACACCACCACGCTTGGAGCGTCTATTTAAGCTGGGTTGGAAGGGGGGGGAATGCGCCTTGACAAAAGAATCTGCATATCAAGAGGAATTTAGCATATTTATGGGAAATGCAGGAATGCGACTAGTGCTACTTGTGAAATGCGTATGAGGTGGGCGGGGGGTTTTCAAAGTCATATTATGCCCATGCATTATGCAGGATTAGCAGCATCAAAGGGAAGGGGTAGGGGTAGCATTAATAAAGGGAAGGAAGATAACCCGTATTGTACGTATGGATGTTGAACTTCTTTGGCACCGTAGGTAGCCAACCGTGCTAATCGGAGGTATTAACAAGAGACGCAAGGTCTGCCAGAGCACGGCAATTGTAGGTAGGTGCACACGAGTAGAGATTAATATGTAGGTGTGTCTGTGTGCGATTGAACACTGTCGTTCATAACACCACCAACACATTAACAAAGTTCAATCCCGACCAGAGCTTTCTGAACTTTAACAAAAATATTGAATAGTTAACCCAAAGCATTTAACCCGCCGCATGGCCTTTGTGAATTACCTTGCCACTGGGAGGCCAGGGCGTCATGAAGCTGCCTGTAGAAATGGCCTCCCAACCG